TATCGACAAATTCATGGTATTGACTATGATGAATCCTTTTCTCCAGTTATCATGTTTAAATCAATCAGGATACTTTTAAGCATCGCCGCATATTATGACTATGAGATATGGCAAATGGATGTCAAAACTGCTTTCCTAAATGGATACCTTGAAGAGGATGTGTACATGACACAACCTGAAGGTTTTGTGGATCCAATAAATGCTAATAAAGTATGCAAGCTTAAGAGATCCATATATGGTCTTAAGCAAGCATCTCGGAGTTGGAATCTTCGTTTTAATGAAGTTGTCAAAGAGTTTGGTTTCATGAAAAACGAAGAAGAACCTTGTGTATACAAGAAGGTCAGTGGGAGCGCAATAATCTTTCTGGTATTGTATGTAGATGACATACTACTCATTGGAAATGATATTCCCATGCTTCAATCTGTTAAGACTTGGCTAGGAAATTGTTTTTCAATGAAAGACTTGGGCGAGGCAACCTTTATATTAGGGATCAAGGTCTATAGGGATAGATCAAGAAAACTAATAGGTTTAAGCCAAAGTACATATATTGACAAAATCTTACACAAGTTTTGCATGCAAGACTCTAAAAGGGGATTCTTGCCAATGACACATGGCATAACACTCAGCAAGACTCAGTGTCCTCAAACACAAGATGAGCGAGATCGCATGGATAGAATCCCATATGCTTCGGCTATAGGATCTATCATGTATGCCATGTTATGTACTCGTCCTGATGTAGCACATGCATTGAGTGTGACAAGCAGATACCAGTCAGACCCAGGTGAGGGCCACTGGACCGCTGTCAAGAACATTCTAAAGTACTTAAAAAGAACTAGGGATATGTTTTTGGTCTATGGCGGACAGGAAGAATTGGTTGTAAGTGGTTACACTGATTCGGGTTTTCAGTCAGACAAGGATGACTTCAAATCGCAATCCGGTTTTGTTTTTTGTCTAAACGGTGGAGCCGTGAGTTGGAAAAGTTCTAAACAAGACACAGTTACTGATTCTACAACGGAAGCTGAATATGTTGCTGCTTCAGAAGCAGCAAAGGAAGCAGTATGGATAAAGAAGTTTATCACTGAGCTTGGTGTCATTCCTAGTAGCACCGATCCAATAGATTTGTATTGTGACAACAATGGAGCGATTGCTCAAGCTAAAGAGCCAAGGTCACACCACAAGTCTAAGCATATTCAAAGACGTTATCACCTGATACGTGGGTTTATAAGTAATGGTGATGTAAAGATGTGCAAAGTTCCCACGGATGAGAACGTTGCTGATCCTTTGACCAAGCCGCTTTCTCAATCCAAACATGATAGACATACTAGTGCAATGGGCATTCGCCTCATGAATGAATGGTCCTAGTGCAAGTGGGAGACTGAAAGAGATATGCCCTAGAACTATTCATATATGTATGACTTATAGTTGGATATCTTATGCTTATTAATAAGGTTTATCTTATTTATACCTTATATTCTTAAAAATAGTATATTATTATTACTAGTTCACCAAGTACGTGACTTGGTTGTGGAATACTAGTTGTTTCATATAAATACTATGTCCCTAATCATATCTCTATAATCTAGGATTACATAGACATATTGATTAGAGTGTGGGTTAGCTGATGACTATGTTCCACAAGTCATGGATATGGAGATATCAAGCTAAACACACTAATACTTGTTGGTGAACAAATATTGGACCGACCCGTTTTGGGAACACTGCAAGGAAATGTTATAAATGTCATCAGTGTTGTTCCCTTTAGTGAAATCATATTGTCCTCGGACCTGAGACCGCCATGGTTACCAATATAGGGATTAATACATTAGACATTATCAAACGTTACTCCCAAATGAGTGACTATAAAGATAATGATCAAATGTATTATGAAATATATAGAGGTATGTGGTTGGTTAAGATGGGATTTGTCACTTTCATATATTGAGAGAAGATATCTTTGGGCCCCTTGATAAGTATATTTAATTATAGCATGGCCATGCACAAATGAGGTGTCATTTGTATTAAATATACTTGAAAATCAAGATACAATGATTGAACTATACAAGAATGACACTCGCCTAGTCTTGTGTTCAATCTAGATATCGTTTTGGCAAAAGGAATATATATATGACATAATATTTATAAGTTGTGTCGTTTTGAATTTTATATCCTTTGGATAATAATAATAATGTCTTACTAGAGACCGCTTTTTATTTGTATAATTAAAAGAGTATTTAATTATACTACCAAAGGAATATAAACCTATAGGGTCGCACACTAAAACGTTTTTGGATCTGAATCGGATAGTGTTTGGGTCCGAATGACTTCAAGCCCATATCCGTTTGTTGCTAGGGTTTTCTACATTATGTTCTCTATAAAAGGAGGAGCCTGAGAGCTTAATAGGGCTGGCCGTTCTCACACATACATGAGACAAAACATAATTTGAGAAAACTCTTTGGATGCTAGTACATTGAGCAAGTCTGATCCGATCGTGTGTGCACACCGTAGAGGCGTGGTATTTTCTACGCTAGAACGACATAATCAAGTGCTGTTTTCCGTTGATACCTCAAAAGGTATGGTTTCATACGAACTTATAATGATTTGTTTCTTGATTTGTTGCGATCTATATTGCTTATTAGCGATTGAAATTCATGGAATAGTATAGATCCTTTTGTAAATGTTTTTGCTTCGTTTCAAGCATGAGATGCATGTTCGTAGCTAGATTTCCTTCAAATACTCAGTGACTAGAAGAACTATTTTCAACATTTGGAACACAGCCAAAGAGCAACTTGAAAAAGGGGAAGCTGTAGATGTACGTACAAAGTGGGTGGGAAACTCAGGCAGAAAAAGAGTCATGTTTGATGTTAGTCATATTCCAGAAATCCCTCTCCATAAAAGGACCAACATAGGGGCACTTGCCTCTGCCTCATCAATGTCAAGGTCAACCATTCACAGGCTGGTTCACAGAGGTATTCTCAGAAGTCACACTAATGCTATAAAGCCTTTGCTAAGTGACACAAACAGGATGTCAAGACTGAATTTCTATTATAGGCAGGTAGACACATCAATTCCATCAAAACCAGTTTTTAAAAACTTTCAAAATGTCATACACATAGATGAAAAATGGTTTTTCCTGTCCAAAACATCACAAAGATACTACACGGGGCTACAAGAGCAGGATCCACATAGAGTATGCAAATCCAAAAGATTCATAACTAAAGTTATGTCACTTGGAGCAGTTGGTAAGCCTCTATTTGCAGATAATGGTGATGTAATTTGGGATGGGAAAGTTGGTATTTTCCCATTTGTTGAGAAAGTGGCAGCAAAAAGAAAAAGCAAAAAACAGAAATGCGGGGGTCATGGAAACCAAACCTATACTGAGCATTAATAAACCAGTGTTTTAAGAGATGCTAATACACACAGTGCTACCTGCAATCAAGTCCAAATGGCCAGAACAATTAAGCAAGGACATCATTATCAAACAGGATAATGCAAGCCCACACATTCTAGATTCTGATCCAGATTTTATGGCTGCCTCTAAAGCATATGGGTTTAACATTACCCTTACTAATCAGCCCTCTAATTCCCCAGATCTCAACATACTAAGCCTTGGCTTCTTTAGGGCAATCCAGTCTCTAAAAGACCAGAAAGCACCTAAGAATGTGGATGAAATGTTACAGGCAGTTGATGAGGCATTCTATGAGCTTTCACCCATGACCCTCGACAAGGTGTGGCTTAGCTTTCAATATGTCATGTTAGAAATTTTCAAAGTGGAGGGGGGAACAACTACAAGCTACCACATAATGCAAAGGATAGAATGATTGCAGAAGGAACTCTGCCAACAAGCATAGAGGTTGATGTCGAGCTGCTTGATGTTGTAGGAGGTCTTTTATCCCAATCAATAAATACTACCAGTACTAATGAAGACGCAGAAGAGCCAAATAATGGGGAGTTCATACTGGAAGATGATGAGGAATAGTTCATCTTCAGTCATGAACTCTATCCATTATTGTATAGGCCTGATTTTTTGTCATTTTGTAAAGGCCTATACTTATTTAAATTTAGAACTGGCCTGTTTTTGTCATTTTGTGAAGGGCTAATTTTTTGTCATATTATAAAGGCCTGTTTTTGTGAATTAGTATTGGCCTGTATTTGTAGCTACTCAGAATTGAATTCATCATTGTAGCATAACAACAATATGTCTTAGCTTACACATTGTCATCATAGCACCATGCCTTATCATATCAGCCTGCCACATGCATAAACAGACCTTCCAATTGGTCATCACAACATAGAACAAGACCAAACACACATACATAGCATCCAAAGACCTGGGCTAATGCTTGGTAAGACTTGGGAAGGTCATCATACCAGCCTGCCACAGGACTTGCTCAGACCTTCCAATTGGTCATCACAGCATACAACAAGATCAAGCACACATACATAACATCCAAAGACCTAGGCTAATGCTTGGTAAGACCTGGGAAGGTCATCATACCAACCTGCCATAGGACTTGCTCAGACCTTCCGATTGGTCATCACAACATACAACAAGACCAAGCACACATACATAGCATCCAAAGACCTGAGCTAATGCTCGGTAAGACATGGGAAGGGTCATCATACCAGCCTGCCACAGGACTTGCTCAGACCTTCCAATTGGTCATCACAGCATAGAACAAGACCAATCACACATACATAGCATCCAAAGACCTGGGCTAATGCTTGGTAAGACTTGGGAAGGTCATCATACCAGCCTGCCACAAGACTTGCTCAGACCTTCCAATTGGTCATCACAGCATACAACAAGACCAAGCACACATACATAACATCCAAAGACCTGGGCTAATGCTTGGTAAGACCTAGGAAGGTCATCATACCAGCCTGCCACAGGCCTTGCTACCCCAAATATTCATCACAGATGACAAGCAACAATTTCAGTCTTAAACACACCGTATACTCATCATTGCTACCCCAAATTTAAACACTTTTACATAAGAAAAGGAGCATTCATGCAATAAAGCAAAATCAATCAGGCATAGTCACACATGAAGACTGTTTAAGAAAGAAACTCCCCTGTTATGTGTCGATGTCCCACATTCTAGACTCCCAGCCAGTTATAATGATTTTTTAGAAGGCCTCCAAACGGGGATTGCGGAAAGGATGGTTTTGCACCTCTCTCCGTCTTCTTGTGGCTTCAGACTCTGGAATTTCAGCCATCTCCTTCTGTTCTTCACTGTTCGGCATCACAACCATCTCCTTCTGCTCTGGAAGTTGACCGTGTTCGTCCAACTCTTCTTCACTGTCCGGAACCACCAGCTCCAACGGACCTTCACCGTCTACCTCATCTGTCACGCCCCGGACCTTCCCGGACACGTCAACAACCCGCCGTACAGTACGAATAGTCAACCGCAGTCCAACTCATCCATACTATACAAGGCGTCTTGAATACCATTCACATTAGTACATCCATAAACAATCACAATGTAAATCATTTAATTAAGCAGCGGAAATATTAATACAAGCATTCGAGCCACACGTGGCAAACACGGGCGTGCAAGCCCTAAATAATTATTCGGAAAATAGTATCCATGAGCATTAATTTGAATGTTTTAAAACAGAAACGGAGGAAGCACGAACCACGTCTCCTCTCCTTGATAATCCGCCCGAAGCAACGGTGATGGTAGCACCCTTCAAGTTCTACCTGAAACTGTGAGGTGGCCTCCCCCGTGAAGGGGAGGTCAGTACTTGGAAGCATTTGACAAGTACAATGACAACTATACTAAGTATAATCAAAGTTTCAATTTCCAAGACCCTCAATCTAGGATGTTATTATATTATTGGTCATAACCCGTGGTTACCCTCTTTTGAAAGTATACTTACTTTATATATATAGTCAAGTAATCGCCCGAAGGCCCATGTTTACTTTGGACACATTTAACCCTTTCCCCGTGACTTCAAGCCACACCCATCTATATTAGTTTACCATGCTAGAGGCTTCCTCTAGTCATGTTTTGTCGTGCTAGAGGCTGACTCTAGTCACTCCACTTGGTGTTAGAGGCTTCCTCTAATCACCTTACATACGTTGTGCTGGAGGCTTCCTCCAGTCACATTACGTTACGCTAGAGGCTTCCTCTAGTCGTCCTACACGAATGCTGGAGGCTTCCTCCAGTCATTCTTCATCGTGCTCGAGGCTTCCTCTAGTCACGATACTAATTCACTAAGCAATCTCTATGCCTAGAGTTCCTCTACTATGAGTAACCTTCAAGATCCACTCCTACGGTAACTTAGCGTTTACTCATTTCTACCTTAAGACATTTCATATGACTACTTAAGGTACATCTTTCACAATCCAAACCCCTAGGATTTGTTCTATCATTTTTCATGCTAACATCCCCGGCTAGTATTTCTATACTAGTCATTTAACCTTAATAAGCCAATGCAATTTCATAGTAATTTGGCTATTTCAATTTAATTCCACATTCAAGTATAACTTGGTTCTAATATCAAAATATCACTTTTATCCTTCCATGACTTCCTTACATGAGGTAAAACTCCGGTGAACTTTGACCAACTCCGGCGAACTTTGACCAACTCCGGCGAAACTCCGGCGAAGCTCAAAAATACTTTAATCAAGTTCCTAACAAGGTTTTAACATCATAAAACCTTAATCAATACAAATAACCCCTAAAAGGTTATTTTCCGGTGAACTTGTCGGTTTGGCTTCTAAATCCGTTCTTGGACTTAGAACCACTCTCCAACCCATTATTCTACACTTAAATTATGTAGAACAACCCTCAAGGTTCTTCATATGATATATATCTCATATGATAGAAGAAAAATAGAGGAAAAGTTATGATAAGGTCATTACCTTAATTTTCACACTTTTTCCTAGCTTTTTCCTTCTTTAATCTTCCTCCTTGGAACTCCTTTGCTTGAGCTCGAATTTGCTATGGGGGATGGTGGTTTGCAGAGGTTTCTTCTTCCCTTGGTGTGTCTTGGCCGAACTCAATGAGTGGGAGAGGAGGGAGGATAGTTGCTTTTGTCTTTCTTTGCAAATGAGTAAGGAAATGGGGGTCCACTAGGTGTCAAAGGTGTTCCTCCCATCCTTTCACTTGTCCTCCAGCCCTCCTAGCACTCAATCAGCCCCCTTTGGGTTGACAATTTCGTGGGGTGGCCCCCACCCATGTGGGAGGTCATCCCAATTCGTCCCGAAGTGTACAATCGGTCCCGAAAGTTGTATTTTTCGGACTGTTTTAAATATATTTTATTTTATCGGGTCAAATAAAATATATTATGTGCTATTAATCATTATGACCCTTATAATGAATTTACATCCCCCAACTTTGATTTATAAATTCCCGATATTCATTTCGGGCTTTTATCTGTTAAATTACCAGTACCGGTATTTTGGCCTTTTTGATCGATCGGTCAACTCTATACCATTTCTTTGTACCAAATACATTATCCACCTCTATGTAAATATGATATCGACCAAGATGAACAAAATATACGGTCTCGGGAATATCGGGCGGCCCCCGCCCCCAGTGTGGGCCTCGCACGAAATTTACTATTCACGCGAATAAAAATAATAAAATTCACAACTTCGTATAATCATTAACCATTTCATAAGGTTCAATACAATATTCACTTAAAAGTAAATACATTTGGGGACGGTGTTACAAGTTCACCCCCCCTTATTTGGGATTTCGTCCCCGAAATCCACGTGTCTAATCGAAAAGAAACGGGTATTGCCCCCTCATTGAGACCTCGGTCTCCCAGGTTTCTTCTTCGACTCGATCACTCCTCCAAAGGACCTTCACCATCGGAATCTCCTTGTTCCTCAATTTCTTTACTTGTTGCCCCACAATCTTCACCGGTTCTACGGCATATTGTAGATCTTCCCGTATCTCTACCGGTGGTTTCTCAAGAATATGAGACGGATCCCGCACATATTTCTTGAGCATCGATACATGAAACACGTCGTGTATCTTCTCAAGTTCTGGCGTCAACTTGAGACGGTATGCCACAGCCCCTATCCTTTCAAGGATTTCAAATGGACCAATATATCGGGGGTTAAGCTTTCCCCTCGATATAAATCGGATGATACCCTTCCAAGGAGAAACCCTTAGGAAAACCTTATCACCGACCTCAAACTCCAATGGTCTTCGTCGTTTGTCGGCATAACTCTTCTGCCGATCTTGAGCAGCCTTGAGTCTATTTTGAATGACTTTCACCTTAGCCTTGGTGATTTCGACCAGTTCAATCCCCTCGAGCTTGGCCTCGCCAACCTCGTCCCAACACAACGGTGTTCTGCATTTCCTCCCATACAATGCCTCATATGGAGGCATGCCAATACTCGCCTGATAACTGTTGTTATAGGCAAACTCAACTAGAGCCAAATGTTTGTCCCAACTCCCTTGGAACTCCATAGCACATGCCCTAAGCATGTCCTCCAATATCTGTATCACTCGCTCAGATTGCCCATCCGTCTGTGGATGAAAAGCCGTGCTAAACTTCAGTTTAGTACCCAAAGATGCTTGGAACTTGGGCCAAAATCGAGACGTGAATCGTGGATCCCTATCCGAGACAATGGATATCGGGACTCCATGTAGTCTCACAATCTCCTCCGTGTATAGCTTTGCTAATCTTTCAAGAGGATAGGTAATGTTGATAGGCAAAAAGTGTGCGCTCTTAGTGAGCCTATCAACCACTACCCATACTGCATCGTAGTTGTTCACTGTTCGTGGTAGCCCCACCACGAAGTCCATGGTAACATGCTCCCACTTCCATTCTGGAATGGTCAGTGGCTGCAAAAGCCCCGCCGGGTGCTGATGCTCTGCCTTAACTTGTTGGCAAGTAAGGCATCGACTCACGTACTCTGCGATGTCTCTCTTCATACCCGACCACCAGTAACTTTCCTTCAAATCTCGGTACATTTTAGTACCTCCTGGATGCATAGCATATGCCGAAGAATGAGCTTCCTCTAGTATGGACTTTTGGAGCTCCTCACTCCTTGGTATGCATACACGGTCTTTAAACAGTAAAAGGCCGTCATCACGTACCCGAAAGTTCTCCACGGGCCCTTCAAGGATCCTCTCGCGGATCTTCTGGCATTCATCATCAGTGGCCTGACATCTACTGATCTCACTCAGCAATGTGGGCCTAACCTCGAATCTAGCAATGAGGACCCCACTCGTGGACATCTCCACTTGTGCCCTCAAAGTTCTTAGACATGTGAGTAATGTCCCCGACGTACTTTTCCTGCTCAGTGCATCGGCCACTACATTGGCTTTTCCGGGATGATAGTCGATGATCAAGTCATAATCCTTGATCAACTCCATCCATCTCCTTTGTCTCATGTTCAACTCTTTCTGAGTGAATACGTACTTCAAGCTCTTATGATCGGTAAAAATGTGACATGTCTCCCCATAGAGGTAATGCCTCCAAATCTTTAGTGCAAACACTACCGCCCCCAACTCTAGATCGTGGGTAGGGTAGTTCGCCTCGTGTTTCTTCAATTGCCTAGAAGCATAGGCAATCACCCGACCGTTTTGCATCAGTACACATCCAAGCCCTTGGATGCTAGCATCACTGTAGATATCATACCCTATCCCCTGTATAGGTGGGGCTAGTACTGGTGCTTCGGTAAGTCGTTTCTTCAGTTCAAGGAACCCTTTCTCACACTTGTCGTCCCATATGAACTTGGCCCCTTTCTTTGTGAGCTTCGTTAATGGAGACGCCAATACGGAGAATTTTTCCACAAATTTACGATAGTATCCCGCTAAGCCAAGGAAACTACGTATCTCTTTCACATTCTTGGGTCTCTCCCAATCCATAATAGCTTTAATCTTGGCGTTGTCCACGGCAACGCCCGAACCAGATATGACATGACCGAGGAAACTGATCTCTTTGAGCCAAAATTCGCATTTTGAGAACTTGGCAAAGAGTTGCTTTTCCCTTAACCGATCAAGTACAAGCCTCAAATGGTGTTCGTGCTCCTCCTCGCTCTTGGAGTATATCAAGATGTCGTCAATGAATACTATCACGAATTGATCTAAGTATTCACTAAACACACGGTTCATCAAGTCCATGAATGCCGCCGGTGCGTTGGTTAAACCAAACGACATCACAAGGAATTCGTAATGACCATATCTAGTGCGAAATGCACTCTTAGGTATGTCACTCTCCTTGATCTTCAACTGATGATACCCCGACCTCAAGTCAATCTTCGAGAACACTATTGCCCCTCGAAGTTGGTCGAACAAGTCATCAATCCTCGGTAAGGGATACCTGTTCTTGATGGTGACCTTGTTCAACTGTCGGTAGTCAATACACATTCTTAGTGTACCATCTTTCTTCTTTACGAATAGTACGGGTGCTCCCCACGGTGAATGACTGGGTCTGATGAACCCGTTGTCCAATAGTTCTTGTAGTTGGACCTTCAACTCTTGAAGTTCGGCCGGTGCCATTCGATAAGGAGGAATCGAAATGGGTTTGGTTCCCGGCTCCACTTCGATTACAAATTCAATCTCTCTATCGGGTGGAAGCCCCGGTAGGTCCTTGGGAAAGACTTCCGGGTACTTGCACACGACTCGAACATCCTTGATGTCGACTTCTTTCTTCGTATCATCTACCACGTAAGCAAGGTATGCGTGGCACCCTTTTCTCATCATCTTCCGTGCTCTCATCACGGATATGATGCAAGCATTTGATTTCCCCCGATCTCCTTCGAAACATAGCGTGTTTCCTTGCTCATCCTCGAGCTCCAACACCTTGGTGTAGCAATCTACTCGAGCATGGTGCTTCTCAAGCCAATCCATTCCTAGGATTGCATCGAACTCCAACATGCTTAGAGGTACGAAATCACAAGTCAAGGGTTGACCCGTCACTTCCACCTCACATGATGGATAGTAATGATTTCTCTCCACATCGTCCCCTAACGGTGTGGAGACTAGCAACGTTTGCGTCATAGGTGTCAATGGCACGTCAAGTCCCTCGGCGAACGCCTCACTCACAAATGAGCGTTGTGCCCCGGTATCGATGAGGATCCTCGCACACCTACCATTGATCTTTAATGTTCCTACATTTATACACCATGTAAGATACATTTTCTAATGTTTTTACACATCTTTAGGAGGTTATTAAGTCAATACTAAGGTTTGGAATCAAACGGGGGTCCAAACGTAGAAGAACGGGGTGAAAAAATCAATTTTCGGGGGTTGGGGGTCCACGCACGGCGTGCCTGGGTGGCACGCACGACCGTGCGTGCAACGAACTAACTCTGCGTGCCACTGCCGGCCAGGCACGATGCCAGGCACGGCGTGCCTACGGCCGTGCCTGGCCAAAAATACTTCGAACGCTACTGCCTTCCAGGCACGACGCCAGGCACGGCGTGCCTGCGGCCGTGCCTGGCCCAAATTTTTTTTTTCTTTCTTTTCTTCGGGTGCCACTGCCTTCCAGACACGGTGCCAGGCACGGCGTGCCTGCGACCGTGCCTGGCCAAAAAAATCTTCCGGTTGCCACTGCCTTCCAGGCACGATGCCAGGCACGGCGTGCCTGCGAGCGTGCCTGGCCGGCAGTGGCTGTTTCCAGCTGATTTGGCCTAACTTGCCCGGTTTTGACCCCGGGGTGGCCCGCACTCAATCCCTACGACGTATATGATCAATGCAAGCCTAGAAATGACCAGAATAAGTGTATTACCTGCGACGGAGTCGGGATTAGCCCGAGCATCGGCCTCGGTCATTGCGTACACTCTCGCTTGAGTCCTTCCTTGGTTCACGGAGGGTGCGTTGCTTGTACTTGCCCCGCCGTGGTTCGCGCTTGCATTTGGTGCCCCACCCCGGTTTCTACTCACCATGGTTGCACTGCTTGGCCCTGATGACCGGTTCCCACCGAGTTGAGGGCAATTGGGCTTTATGTGCCCCGTATCTCCGCATTGGTAGCACCGTGGGGGATCACGACATTTGCCCTCGTGATTTCTCTTGCAATTCCTGCACTTAGGCTTCGTCGGGGCTTGTGATCCCGAGTTCTGCCCACTCATGTTGGGATTCCCCCTTGATGGTGGTGCGGGTGCCCTGAAGGATCCTCCTCCCCCGTGATTCCCCTTCTTGTTTGAACCCTGGGGGCCATGGTTCTCCCATTTTCTTTTCTTTGCCTCCTCGGCATTTCTTCGCTTCCTTTCCTCCCATTCCTTCTCCCCCTTCAAGCCTTGTTCGACCACTTGGCTAAACGTCATATTAGGCAATTGTGTTGCCCTCTCACGTATATCAAGGTCCAAGCGTTCCAGAAGTGGTTCACCATCCGGTTCTCATCACAAATGTATTCCGGTATGAACTCAGCAAGTTTTCTGAACTTGTGCTCAAGCTCCTTCACCGTGCACTCACCTCCTTGGGTTAAGGTTGTGTACTCCCTCCTCTTTAAATTCACTTCAAAGTCGGAGTAGTATTGGCTAAAGAATTCTTGCCAGAAATTCTCCCAGGTGACGGCTTCGCCGTACTTCCCTTTAGCTCCGTCCCACCATGTGGACGCCATGCCTTCTAGTAGTCTTGTGGCCACCCTCAACTTCATGTTTGGTGGCAGCTGCATATCCAGGGCCGCTTCATTGAATCTCTTGATCCACTCGGCCGCCACGGAGATGTCTCCCGTTCCATCAAACGGTTTACATCCCAAGTCTCTCGCCTCCTTTAGGTACTTCGAGATTCTTATGATAGGAACCTCGGCACCTCGCCCTCCTTGGGGTTCTATGCTTCCCCTAGGACTCACCCGGCTCCCCCTCCTCGAAGCCCCCCTCGAAGCACGCCTTGCCCGGCGCCTTTGGCGATCTTGATGATATTGCTGGAGCAATTCCTCAATCCTTTCTAGAGCGTCGTTATCGTCGCTCCCCTCGCTAATGTCATCATCTTCCCCATCATATGGGGTTTCAACCGGCTCCGTTCCCGGTCGGTACGTTGAATCCTCCTCGGACTCATAATGCTCGTCAATTGTTTCAACATGACCGTCACTAACGGTCAGCGAGTGGCCTGCACGGCCCTGCCCTCGAGACACCCTTGATGCCCCTCGACTGCCATGTTGGGACCTTCCCGGCGCCTGGCCAGTCGGGTTTCGTCGGGTGACTTTACCGGTACGTTCCATTTCTGAAAGAGATAGAGAAGGAGTCATTAGACCCGTTGTCACGCCCCGGGCCTATCCGGACACGTCAACAATCCGCCGTACAGTACGAATAGTCAACCGCAGTCCAACACATTCATACTATACAAGGCGTCTGGGATATCATTCACACATAGTACATCCATAAACAAACATAATGTAAAATATTCATTCAAAGCAGCGGAAACGTTTGATACAAGTGTTCAAGACTTCATGCCACACTTGGCGAAACATGGGCATACAAGCCATCAAATAATTATTCAAAAGATAACATCCATGAGCATTAATTTAAATGATTTTAAAACAGGAACGGAGGAAGCACGAACCACGTCTTCTTCTCCTGAATTCTCTTGGAGCAACGGCGATGGTAGCAACCTTCAAGTTCTACCTGAAACTGTGAGGTGGCCTCCCCCGTGAAGGGGAGGTCAGTACTTGGAAGCATTTGACAAGTACAATGACAACTATACTAAGTATAATCAAAGTTTCAATTTCCAAGACCCTCAATCTAAGATGTTATTCATTTATAATTAACTCATGTCCTCCATGCTAGAGCTCGGCTCATAGTCATATCAATTTGTGCTAGAGCTCGGCTCATAGTCACCCTACGTTTGCTAGAGCTCGGCTCATAGTCATACTAATTTGTGCTAGAGCTCGGCTCATAGTCACCCTACGCTTGCTAGAGCTCGGCTCATAGTCATACTAATTTGTGCTAGAGCTCGGCTCATAGTCACCCTACGCTTGCTAGAGCTCGGCTCATAGTCATACTAATTTGTGCTAGAGCTCGGCTCATAGTCACCCTACCACGTGCTAGAGCTCGGCTCATAGTCACGTCAACTAATCCCTAAACCACTTCTTAGTCTAGGTTCCATCCATTTTGAGTAACCCCTAAGGCTTACTCCAAATGTAACTTGAGTTCATAACAATTTGAATATTTCAATAAAATTCCTCATTCAAGTATAACTTGGCTCTAATTTCAAAATATCACTTTTATCCTTCCATGACCTCCTTACATGAGGTAAAAGTATATTTATCACAATTTAGTTTATAGTTTACACAACTATTATGTCATTGTATTCATAACACACAATCATACACAATTTGTTCATAAATTTGTATATTATGCATTTTTACTTATAAACAATAATAATCTCATTTAGGCATTTTTTTATTATAAATAAATCATGCCAAACACATATAATTCATTTAGGTAATCTTATGAAATTAACCCAATAATTATAAGCAATATAGTCGGTCATCCTCACCTTAAGTGAGTTTAAGCGCGTTCTACGCTCCGCGGTTGAACTTTGACCAACTCCGGCCAACTTTGACCAACTCCGGCGAAACTCCGGCGAAGCTCAAAGATACTCTAAATCAAGTTCCTAACAAGGTTTTAACATCATAAAACCTTAATCAATACACATAACCCTTAAAAGGTTATTTTCCGGTGAACCGGTCGGTTTGGCTTCTAAGTCCGTTCTTGGACTTAGAACTACTCCCCAACCCATTATTCCACACTATTGGCATGTAGAACAACCTCAAGGGTTCTCCATAAGATATGTATCTCATAGGGTAGGGGAAAAATAAAGGAAAAGTTAATACAAGGTCATTACCTTAATCTTTCTCACTTTTCCTAGCCTTTTTCTCCCTTTAATCTTCCTCCTTGGAACTTCCTTGCTTGGGCTCGAATTAGCTATGGAGTATGGAGTTGAAAAGCTTCCCCTCTCTCTCTTTTCCTTGTGATGGCCGAAATATGGTAGGGGGGATGGGTTGTGAGACTTGGTTTTGTCTCAAATGGCCAATGAGTGAGGTCAAAGGGCCCCTTTGCACCTCCTCCACTCATCCTCTTGTCAACCCAGCTCCCCCTTGTCCATTCTAGCACAAAAAACGTGGGGTGGCCCCCACTCATGTGGGAGGTCATCCCCTTGTGTCCCAATGTGTACAATCGGTCCCGAAAGTTGTATTTTTCGGACTGTTTTAACTGTATTTTACTTTATAGGGTCAAATAAAATATATTATGTGTTATTAATCATTATGACCCTTATAATGAATTTACATCCCCCAACTTTAATTTATAAGTTCCCGAAATTCATTTCGGGTTTTTATCTGATAAATTACCGATACCGATATTTGGGCCTTTTTGATCAACCGGTCAACTCTATATCATTTCTTTGGACCAAATAAATTATCCACCATTATATAAACATTATATTGATCAAAATGAATAAAATATATGGTCTCGGGAATATCGGGCGGCCCCCGCTCCCGGTGCGGGCCCCACGTGCGAATTTACTTTTCACGCAAAAGCATTAATAAAAATCCACAACTTCGAATACTCGTTAACCATTCCATAAGTTCAATACATTATTCACTTAAAAGTAAATACGTTTGGGGACGGTGTTACAAGTTCACCCCCCCTTATTTGGGATTTCGTCCCCGAAACCCATGTGTCTAATCGAAAAGAAACGGGTATTGCTCCCTCATTGAGACCTCGGTCTCCCAGGTTTCTTCTTCGACTCGATCACTCCTCCAAAGAACCTTTACCATAGGAATCTCTTTGTTCCTCAATTTCTTCACCTGTTGACCCACAACCTTTACCGGTTCCACTGCATATTGTAGATCTTCACGTATCTCCACCGGTGGCTTCTCAAGAATATGAGATGGATCTCTCACGTATTTCTTGAGCATCGATACATGAAACACGTCGTGTATCTTCTCAAGTTCCGGCGTCAGCTTGAGACGGTAAGCCACCGCCCCAATCCTTTCAAGGATTTCAAACGGACCAATGTATCGGGGGTTGAGTTTTCCCCTCGATATAAATCGGATGATACCCTTCCAAGGAGAAATTCTTAGGAAGACCTTATCACCGACCTCGAACTCCAATGGCCTGCGTCGTTTGTCGGCATAGCTCTTCTGCCGATCTTGGGCAGTCTTGAGTCTATCCTGAATGACTTTCACTTTAGTCTTGGTGATTTCAACAAGTTCAATCCCTTCGAGCTTGGCCTCGCCAACCTCGTCCCAACATAACGGTGTTCTGCATTTCCTCCCATACAATGCCTCGTATGGAGGCATGCCAATACTCGCCTGATAACTATTGTTATAGGCAAACTCTACTAGAGCCAAATGCTTGTCCCAACTTCCTTGGAACTCCAGAGCACATGCCCTAAGCATATCTTCCAGAATCTGTATCACCCTCTCAGATTGTCCATCCGTCTGTGGATGGAAAGCTGTGCTAAACTTCAGTTTAGTACCCAAAGATGCTTGAAACTTGGGCCAAAATCGAGATGTGAATCGTGGATCCCTATCCGAGACAATGGATATCGGGACTCCATGTAGTCTCACAATCTCCTCCGTGTATAGCTTTGCCAATCTCTCAAGAGGATAAGTAATGTTGATAGGCAAAAAGTGTGCACTCTTGGTGAGCCTATCAACCACTACCCATACTGCATCATAGTTGTTCACTGTTCGTGGTAGCCCCACCACGAAGTCCATGGTCACATGCTCCCACTTCCATTCTGGAATGGTTAGTGGCTGCAAAAGCCCCGCCGGGTGCTGATGCTCTGCCTTAACTTGTTGGCAAGTAAGGCATCGACTCACGTACTCTGCGATATCCCTCTTCATACCCGACCACCAGTAACTTTCCTTCAAGTCTCGGTACATTTTAGTACCTCCTGGATGCATAGCATATGCCGAAGAGTGAGCCTCCTCCAGGATAGACTTTTGGAGCTCTTCACTCTTTGGTATGCACACACGGTCTTTAAACAATAAAAGACCGTCATCACGTACCCGAAAGTTCTCCACGGGCCCTTCGAGGATCCTCTCGCGGATCTTCTGGCATTCATCATCAGTGGCCTGACATCTACTGATCTCACTCAGCAATGTGGGCCTAACCTCGAATCTAGCAATGAGGACCCCACTCGTGGACACCTCCACTTGTGCCCTCAAAGTTCTTAGACATGTGAGTAATGTCCCCGACGTACTTTTCCTGCTCAGTGCATCGGCCACTACATTGGCTTTTCCGGGATGATAGTCGATGATCAAGTCATAATCCTTGATCAACTCCATCCATCTCCTTTGTCTCATGTTCAACTCTTTCTGAGTGAATACGTACTTCAAGCTCTTATGATCGGTAAAA